ATTTCTTAGGAAACTTTTTTACAAACAGCAAGTAATATACCCTTGATAAGTTACTTTGTAAATTAGGTGTGCCTGGTCCCAAAGGGCATATCAGTGTCTGGCCAACAAAAGTGACCAAACCCTTCCAGAGGGCTCACAATTCCCTAAGCAAACCTGAAACCAGCACTTTGTTCCAGCAGTATTCTGGATAAACATCTAGAAGTTATCCCTATTTTCTAAGAATAGAATAAATCTAAAAGTCTTCTTTTCATTTTCCAGTTTCATGTTCTACCTGTAGTCCCAAATATTAGTCAAAAAGAGTGTTTAAAAGGGTCAAGAATATGGCAAGAACTATGTTCATGATTCATGATTCATATTTCTTCTATGTTGCCCCATCCAAAGTCCCTGAACTCCAAAACAGAAAATGTTCCCATAAGCTACCAAACACAGAAAAGTACTGTGGCAAGCAATGGTCCAAACAGTCCAGCATGAAGACGGCCTAGAGGCAATAGGTAACTTATTTGGTTGAAGGAAAGGGAAAATAGAAGAGGTACCCCAGCACCCCAACAGTAGTCAATTACTTAACTGACCTACTACAACAGAACCACCATCAATGCTACTGTTAAATAAACCAACCATTCACAAGTTTCAGTTCACACTATGCTGGGAATTTCATATTTACATACAAACTCTATACATTTAACGTTTTAAAAACCACATAACTATTAAGCTACTCAACAAACTGATTATTCTTCCATCCTACAAAATGACACCCTTTGGGAACTAGGAACTGCTAAAAGTGGGTCAGAAGCAACAGCTGAATTAACCTGACTACACAGATTAGCCAACTCATGACGGGAGAGAAACGTCCCTCCAAGAAGTAGAAGTCCTGTCTGCCGTTCCTCTTTGCAGGTACAGGAAGCACCTGCCAGAGTGGGTGAGGAATCCATTCTAATCAATTATCTGAAGCTGTGGTCAAAGTGAAGCTGCTGACATTCTCTATTCTTATAGGAGAAAAATCTTCCAGTTCCTCATTAGCTGAGAGTTAGAAGCAGGTTTTTATACATCTATTTTTTTCAACATCGTAAGCGAATGTAGTCTACTTTCAATCAATGAAAAGTCTACCTTTTTTTTTT